GAATAAATAACTAGTTTGATATTTTTAATTTTTCTTAATAACAAAAACATTTTCTTGCGTTATAGCTTTTATAATATTAACTTTACTCTTTTTCCTTCAAATAGAAACTAAAAACATGACGATCGGCAATGGCTAGCTAAAGTTATAACGAATCTAATTTTTTAAAACTTTAAACTTCATTTTCTCGAAACGTGATTTTTCGACTTGATGACTTTTCGCTCTACGGGGACGATATGAACATTAGGTACCTATAGTTTATGGGAAACATCAATTGATGGCTTTAATTAGGCTTGCCTACATAGGCTACTATAAGACGTAAATATTTTAAGTATATATTAACGACGAATCTGTACCCATACATGACTTTTAGGTCTACTTAATCTTATTTCTTTACCTAGATATTTTTTTAAAGACATCAAAAATCCCTCGCATGCATTTACCGTTTAGTTACACTCAACTAACAACCTTACGCCTCAAAAATTAGGGTGGAAAATTGAAATTACACACTGAATGCGGTTAAATGCATATTTGTAGTCCAGATTTCGTGACATAACTGTAGTTGGATGTCACGACTGGCGCATGGCGTCACGCGACGTAACAAGTAATTGTCCGTCAGGCGAGACAGCTCGGCTGGGTTGGACAGGGCTGTCCACTATCTAAATGTGGTTGTATTATGGTGAGCAAATATGGATGATTTGAGGTTAACATAATCGAATAGAAATTATTCGACTCCTAAAACGATTACTGAACTGTCTTTTTCCTAACTGTGAGAAGCCCAACATAAGAATTATGTTTTAGAAAATTTAATAAATGTACCTATGTATGTTTTTGAAAATATGCTTGACGCAAATTCGGTCCAAAATTCATAGAAAACAATAATTTATATTAGACATTTAAAAAGATACGACTGAATTAAATTATTTGCAAGCGTCCCTATTGTACGTCGGCTGAGACGGCCTGGCTGGGGTGGACATGGCTGTCCGAAATGCGGTTACATTATGACGGACAAATTCCCATGAGTGGGACATGAGATGTGATATCATGGGTTTACGTCTTCAGCTTAATAGATAATTGTATAAAGGAAGAAATGTTTGATGTCTCTTGTGAATCATGAATGTGAAGGGATGGGAGAGAGATGAAGGTTTTCAGATTTGGCAAAATATATTTTGTGAGTTGTGTCTTATCAAATGACAAGCTACTTCCGTGCGGTTTCACACGTTCTGCTTAGCTTCTATCGGTCGTAGCGTGATGTTTTATAGCCTATAGCCATTCTCGATAAATGCGCTATCTAAAAAAAAAGAATTATTGAAATAAGACTTGTAGTTACGGAGATTAGCGCGTTCAAACAAACAAAAAAATAAACTCTTCCGCTTTATATAATAGTATAAGATATGATTATCATAGAAGAACCTTGTGGAATGAAAGCCGATTTTTTTAATCTAAGTGATGTAACTAAAGGAAGCTAAACTAGGAATATTTCGGAAGACAATCTTGCAACGAAGACGTCAATCATTTTAAAGTCACGGATGGTACCTATGCATGTGAAGAGTGCACAATATTTCTGTGTGTCTGACTTAACTTATTGCTGTACTTTCTGGAAGATAAAACGTCAAATTAAGTAAGATCAATTGCCACCTATTTGGTATTCATTCATTTTATGTTGCAGACATATTACATATTACGATTTTGAATGTCTGAAGAAGTCTTCGATGTTAAAATATGTCACATGACTACAGTGAGACATAATGTTAACTTTGGGTACATTTATACATAACATAACATCACGCCTTTTACCCCTGAAGGGGTAGGCAGAGGTGCACACAGAAGTAACACCCACTTTTCACTATGTTATGAGTACCATGTAATAGGGGGTGAGCCTATTACCATATACCGGGCACGATTCCAGACTCCGTGCTACTACTGAGATTGTTTTTAAAACCCAGTATTACTTTGCTCGACCCGGGAATCGAAGCCGAGACCCCTTGCTCGGCAGTCACACATGCGACCACTCGGCCAGCGAGGCAGTCACACACACATTTATACATACTTAGAAAAAAAAGATGTCCGCTTATGTTTTAGTTTCGATACGACAACCCTATACAAGGCTACTGGTTTGGCGACACGTTACAAATACGGTATCGCCGGTAGCTTAGGGTTGCACAAATGCACACGCCGATGTCCTGATACTCAATTAATCAACACACAACACGAAAACCTCTCCGTGGCCCGCACATCCGTGATTACAATATAACGTTTATTCCGATAACACTGAAGGCTATTTTCTTGTACCTAATATCTATTTCCATGAACTCGTCGTTTATTTACCTACTTCCACTTCCATTCCGATTGCGACTGGACATCAGCATATGTAATTGCTGGTAAACTGTATTAGCATTCTGTAGTTCCGTCGTTATTGTGTTTCAGTGACATTTACATGATTTCAAATTGCCTGCTTTTACGTTTGTACTCATTGCGTGGTATCCAGTTACGTTTTCACGTTTTTGTCATGTTTCCGTTGTTTTTTTTTTACTTTGACAATGCCAATAGTAGTTAAGGATAGTTAGAAACCAGGGAGACAGGAAAAGAATAAGTCTTATTTATTTTATAAGAAACTTATGCCGTTGAATTTTTATAACTACTGAGATTTTAATACATTTAAGTTACAACTTCATCGTAGCTCTTGATGTTCCATAGTCTCTGCGTACCCCCATGAGAGACAGGCGTATGTATAGTATGTATTTTAATACCAACAATGCACAAATTTTTTATCCCAGCTCCTAGACCTTCAAATTCACAGTCATGCGAAGAATACCACGAAAATCGTCTGAAAAATTTTCTCTGCCACCAAATCACATTTCTTGAAGCTTATACAAAACTCACGAGGAATGCAAATTATAAAAATGCCTCAAGGCTCTAAATATCGAGACAGAATGACTGGAAAAAACCATACTAACTTTTCTTAATGTCAGTTAAGGCCATAAAATACATGTATTATTGTAATTTATATTCTGATATCTGACAATATCCAGATTAATGCTACGGAAAAGTAAATTAATCATCAATATTTTTCCGAAACATCCTGATTAGAGAAAGGCTTATACAACGCAAGCCCTTATACTGTAGATATAATTACCAAAAATGAGGAGAGTGACTAGCAATTTAAACTTTAGATAAGCAGTTGTAAGGAAAGAAATTGAAAATCCAAGTCAGGTACAGAATGAACACGGAAAACACATGAAATTGAAAAATGTATGAGTTCAGTGAAGGGATCCAGTTATTGTGCATTTGCTCGAATGATCTTCATATTGAGGTTGGGTTCGAATTTATTCTATTCCACATTCAAATTCGTATGAGGAACGAGCAAAATGGAAAAATGGTGTTATTTCTATGATACCATTATTACAGAATGTAGCTTTGAGAGATTTTATTTTTAAAAGCAGTTTTGTGTATAAAACTTAGAAGTCAAAAAATATTTTTAATAATATTTATATTGATGTTTTAGACTAACTTATAGACACAAGGCCTGCCTTAGTACCTGTACTTATCTAAAGAATTTCTCGTGTCAACTATTCGTTAAAATTTACCTTAGGGTAAAATAACCCTTAAAGATAGAAACATATTGAGTTTAATAAATCAATATAGTTTGCTTAAAGTTTGACGGGAGGGGATTTAAGGGAGGAAAACAAAGATCCGTTTGGAAGTGAGTAAAAAAATAGAGATACTAACAAAGTCCGTACATTCAAATAAAATTCAAACAGATAGAAAACTAGTGACAATTAACAACAACTTAGAAGCGAGCAACAATAAAATTGCTTTAACTTCAAGTAGTGCAGAAAGAACAGACCCACAGAACAAAACTAAAAGCAATTAAAAAGGACAAACATTAGCACACAAACAGAATGAGGAGAAAAGATTCAACAGCAAGGTTATCTCGTTTATTATCAGTTAATGCCAACTCTAAGAAGCACATGACTTGGAAATATTATGATTAGATCTAGAACTGCAATCGCAACTACTCATTTCGGAAGTGAATCATTTGTTTTGGCTACAGATTATTACCTATTACAAAAGGTTATTGACATCGGTAAAACAACTGTAGATAAATATCGACCTAATAAAATCACAAAAACACAAACAAAGCTGAATTTCTAAGTCCAAAATAATAGGACAAACAAGATTTTCGGCTTCTTGTTTTATTCGCAAAGATTCAGAAATGTTGAAAACAAACTGTTTGATTTAGATAGCGAGAAAGATGAAGATTGTGTTAATAGTCTAGGTTGTAACTTTGTAAACGAGTTTACAGAGCAGAGATTTCGATAGTGGAACTTTTATTTGAGATCTTAAATTGGAAAATTTTTGGTAAAAGTCTATTTATAGATCTTGCTTAGTTTGTTAAGCTTTGTTATTTACACCTATAAGCTAAAGTTCATTTGTTATAAGGAAAATATATCTGTATCATGTGAAAGCCTGCATTCACGATGCCGTTAATGTGTTGATGTGGCGTGTTTGCGTGGCGTTCCCATATGCATTGCCTGACTTGATTTAAATTGATGTTTCGACGGTATCAGATCATTTCATGCTGGATTACATAGGGCAGAGAAAGGGCAAAGTCGAACTATCATCATTGCACGTTAAAATACCTTACTTCATGCGATTTAAGCGGGTTTATGACTATAACAATGACTTACATTGGGTTCCTTCCTTGGCTCCGAATTCCATAAGCATTTTCGCAAGCTGTCTGTTAGTTGCAAGCACCGCCACGTCCAACGGTGACAAGCCGTCTGCGTTGAGGCTGGAAAGTAACATGAACCTTTAACACCTAATGTTGAGATATTACTTTTATCTGCGGTACTAAGGAGGCGGAGGTACTAAGTGCGTAAATAATAAAAAAATATACCACAAGGAAGGAATCTCATACAAAAACAATTGTTCATTTTTCGAACGCCGATTTAACAGCTTTGGAATTCACCTTTATACATATAGGGTGCCTACAGGTAATTTTCTTGCTTGACTATTCATGATTTGACTTAATCAGGAAATTTAGAGAAGTCAACGATTTACGAAAGGAATATTGATTTACATATGTACGAATTAGATTGATGAGGATACAGTTGTAGTTTAGGAAGCTTTCCAAATGAACTTTGCAAAGGTCAATTTCATTAAACTAGCGTAACTTTAAACGAACGTAGATACGGTATAGCTAAGTACATGGCCCAACAAGTTAATGCCTCTAAGTGAAGGGCAAAGGGAATCATGATTAACTTTTGTAAAGTGGCTCGCAGAAAGAGGGCTTTGACTAACAATATCATGCAGAAGTTAGTTAATTTAATTTACAAGTTTACGTTCGTAAAGGGCCGCTTATGATAGATCATTGTTATATGGTCTTGATTAAGTTATGAATGGGACTTGAGTTTTGTAAGGATATACCGAACTTGAACATTAAGATACAACTAAGTATGATATAATATATTATGTCTAAGCTTTTCTAGTTCTAATTGATGTAACGAACGGTAGACCTATTATAGGGAATACCTAGAAATAAGTAGTTTTACCTTTTATAGAAAGAAACTTAATTATTAAAATGGAGAAACTGGAGAGCCGCTTCATAAATTAATAAATATAAGAGATAAAAATGCACTTCCTATAGTCGGTTACAAAATATGTGCAATAGTAAAACAGCTGATATCAACGATAGTTTTTAAAACGCAATCCGTAGATCTGCCGAAGACCAAGGCTGAATATGTAAACAGTTTCAGATCGTTTGTCTCGTGACAAATCCAGGTGGTCTTTAAGTGCATTCGCAGTAACAGTGAAAGGGATAAATTCCCGGTGGAAGTATTCTGTTTTCTGCATTAATCCTCAGTTCTTATTGAAGTGAGCTTTACTGTAGTAAGTAGGTGCTTGTTCTTTGATAAGACGAATTTTGTTTCTGATTTAATTTGATGTCTTGCTTCGTAGACTGCTGTTATAGTTTTGAGATTTATTTAACTGTTTTATGATCGCCAGTAGATAGTTTATGATTGAAGATTTAATTGACAATAGGAGTGTTTAAAAAATATAGGCAAATATATGAAACGTTTTTAAATGTTTTAAGAAGTCTCTAAAATTAGGTGACAATAGATATTGCTAGTCATAAGTGTCTAAAGGTAGAATCGTAATCAGTTGAACAGTAGAGTAAAACTCTGATATAAATACTGACGTACTGGAATAGTCGGGATTAGATAACTAGATTTTAAATAAACCCGTTCACAATATTTGAAATAGATTGGGATATGAAACCCAATCTAAGATTACTAAGTCGATAAGACATACAAATCAGAATAATCCACTCAAACCTGGGGATTTCTTATGAGCAATGATTGAGGAAATGATGGATGAGAAGTAGATGGACGTATCATTAGAGAAGAAGTGGATTTCTGATAAGGTGTACTACGTGTAAGATAGCTGAGTGGTCAGTGGTACACCCTGACACCTTTTATCACTGACGTAGAAATAAGGTGTGAAGACGGAAAAACCGTGGCATGTGTCAGCCTACAGGGGGCGCTTAATAAAAAGTGTGAAAGAACACAATTAATTTCCTTCCTTAATAATTTTAAACTTTCTCGTATTTTACTTGTGACACTTTTTATTCACGAGAATACCAACTATTTATTGATTTATATGAAGTTTAGACTATATTATTTCCATCGTCACTTCGTTCATAAGAGGATCCTTTTCAAAATATCCCAGCATTTTGAATAGAAATACCTTTTTTAGGATGTAAGTAGACGAGAACTCTGAAGCATTTCATTAGAATCTTAGGACCCATCCTTTAAGTCTTGTTTTCTCTTGAAACAATCTTCAAGGAAACAATTCCTAAGTCTTACTGGATGTTATACGTTAAGTAAAGCCAAAGATAAGTAAATGATCAAACCTGTTGACGTCGACATCGGTAGACTCCAGAATGTTGCGCGCCTTGTCGAGGTAGCCATGTTCAACAGCTGCAAACAGTGCTGTAACAAACAGAACTAAGATTCACTTTAAAGAACTACTGTTGTACTGATAATTGTGGAAAATATCAGTAAAATGGATTTTCATTTGGTTATATTATTAGAAGTTAAAAGTAGGCAGTTCGTATAAGGTCCGTTTTTTATTGCGCGACCGGCATTCGAAGCCATTTTTGAAGAAGTTGGAGACAGTATGAGAGATGTAGTTGGTTGTTAAAGTAAACCAGTACATGGTTATGTCATAGTGTATTATTGTGTAAATATGTTAGTTGTTGTTAAATATTAGTAGTGTTATGTATAAGGGTAGTGTAAAAAAGATAAAATAAAAAAATATTATTAAACAAAAAAAATTAATAGTTTTAGTAAGTAATTTTAAGTAAGAAAAGTGATAAAACAGATAGAACACAAAAAAGAAATAAAAGAAAAAAAAAACGAAACAAATACCGTGTAAATGTATGTTAACTTGTGCAATTTTGTCTTGTTGCGCGCGCGCATCCTTCTGTTGGCGACGTGTTGCCTTATCGAGGTGCGGGGGGTGGGGGGCGCATGCGCTTAACGACGGCAACTCCCCCCCGCACCCTTCGAGAAGCGCGCCGTACTGCAGCTCTAAGGGAAAAACGAGAAAATGAACAAAATGCAAACAAAAAATAATGTGTTGAAAACAAAAAGAAACAGGAAATACAATTATAAAAAAACGTCTATGAAAAGGTTTATAAAGGAGAAAAACACAAAAATAACGTCAATTTCGCTATTAATAAGACTGATAATTCAATAACAGATAATAAATTCATTAGATGAAGCGATCTCAACGCTGTTTGATTACTAAAACAAATCAAGACATCCAATATTTACAAATGTAGCCTATAAATTAAACCGTATTCCCTAGATATTATTCAAAGTTCAGCGTTCCTAGTCAAATTATGTCACTTGAACTACAAAGGGTTATTTATTGTCCTGTCCTTAGTACAACAGCGATCTAATGATTAATGGAGCCTTTGAGAAATGAAATACATTTGATCAACATTTTGTTGTAAAATACTAATTACATTGGTTTATTTTGAGAAAATCTGGATATTTGTGTCAGTAGGAAAATTAGCTATAGTATGATGAGATTTAAGTTCCATTTTGAATGGTGAGGTCATCAAAATTCTATTCAAGACTAGCTTTCTACATCGTTAAATTTCAATGGGTTTTTTTTAAGGGGGGAAAATCTTCGAATGATTGCTCCCGCCTGGGTGAGGCGGTAGGGAGTGTCAGACTCTTACTGACTAAAACTACCCCGTTCCTACTCCTGCACTTCGAGCCGGAGCCCCGGCAACCCGTTAGGTTCTCCGAAGGTGATTTCCCAATTGCAGTATAGCATGGAGTCTTTCGTATTTATAAGCTTTATTCTGCCAACCGTATTCCATATTATATAAAACTTCCGATCCACCTACATTAGTACAGTCAATTTATCAAACTGCCCACGATCAGCCGACATCCAAAGGTTAACTATTTAACAATGAACATGATTACCTCAATGTCGAACTGTTTGTATGCCAACATATATAAGTAACTCATACCTTTTGATAAACCAAGTACAGACCATAACTTTATTATCTTTTTTACATTCTCCACTTTATTGGTTTGGTATAGGGTCGAAAACCCAATGAAAAAAATTGAAAGAGAAGTAGGTTGGTATACTGGTTATATCTGTACCTAATAATGAGATTTGAAAGGCTTTTCATTTAAAAAGGACTTCATTAAAACAAGTTGTGCAATTAGTAGCTTTCAACAGGTCGATGATAAATAGCTTTTGATTGATTGTTGGCAGGTAAAATTTTGTCTATTCAAGTCTGGTCCATAATGACCCAGTTATGAATTCTTGTAATTGCCTTTACTATGAATTGTGGTTATTACGTTCCAAATAAAGCCTTAATCGCTGTCTGGTGTCGATTGCGAATGTGGCGTTTAGAACTCTTTGTAACACAGCTAAATAAACATTTCAATAAAATAAAGGAATAACGGGTCTTGTCAATGCAATACTTGGATCATCATTAGCTAGAAATATTGATTTTTTAATCTTGAAATCAAGAGGATCAAGTCCTTTTTAGTTCAAATTAAAAGAGTTTATAGTTGAGATCATTTAAAACTTCAAATATATATACGCCATGCTACGTTACTGACAGGTATAGCAACTCACGAATTGCCTCAAGGCACATCCGAGGTAACGCCGCATAGCCTTATCCAGCAGCTGACGGCACAAACATGGTGATTAGGTGTCGAATTCGATATAGATTACAAATTGAATTCACAAGGCGACATGTGGCCGTGTCAGAATATTAAAAAGCTTACATTCACCTCAATGTCATTGTCGGATATTCGGAATATTCACCTTGTAGAGGGCTGTGGAGTGTAGAGGTTATTGAATAAGACGTGCATAATTCATACAACTCTTATAATTCGCCTTTAATCATCTATCTACGTATGTTGGCTGATTGCCAATAATAACACTCTGTTTATATTTTACATTTCGTGGGACATACTAAATTAATTATAATATTTTTCGGCTAACTCACGTAATTATTTGACGAGGAAATGCTACTTAGTAGCAGCGCGACAGTCGCCGCTTCGCGGGTCGCGGAATGCGGAATGCTGCTCATGAATATGAGCCTCTAGCATGGCTTGAAACTAGTCGAGTTCCTCGTCAAATAATTACGTGGCTTAGTCAAAAAAACTTATTTTCTTTTTTTTAAAACGTTGCCCCACATAAGGTTTTTCACCTGTGTCGTGGGTGCGTTTACAAACATACAAGTTCACATACACAATGACACCAAGACCCGAAATAATAATTTGTGGATCACACAAAGGGTTGTTCCGTGCGGGAATCGAACCCGCGACACATTGCACGGCAGCTGGTTGCCCAACCACCGCACCAACCGTGCAGTCAATTAATAACACCCTGCTATAAACTTAAAATCAGACTGTTCTTTTAAGATGAATTTTTTGCAACTATTCTTTCCTACAGCCAGCCCAACCACCGTAATATTCCTTTCTCATTCCTTGTCACTCCGTTCGTTCAAAATTCAGTTTAATAAAACTTCGACAGCTAATCGGAATTCCGATCATAATAAGCAAAGGACCGGATGCTTGCGAAAGGGAAAGCGGAAAAACATTATCTTGTCTAACTTTAAGATCTTAAATTTTCTAATGGAGAAAATTGCTCGGGGATTTTGTTTAAAATAATATGTTGTACGTCACGACGATTTAACTTTTGAACTTTCAAACATTATACGTACTTTCTTACATGTCGTATGAAAGGTTTATCTTGAGATATTTTTGTAATGATACTTCAAAGACAGCGTTTTACAACTTTAAGCATAAAAGTGACTGTTTTAAGCATACCCAGCAACATAAAGTTTGGTCCTAGTAGTCTTAATAGGACCAACTTCACTTTTAATTCACGATAACTGAGTACTTTACTTAATCAAAAATAAATAATTTCGCGACTGTTCAATACAATAAAATATTAAAAAATAATAATCACACTTTTATGACCAACTTAATTTCAATATTTTTTCTGCAAATTTTTAAGAAATAAGTATTATGTTTGACGCTGGAAACGTGACGTCACAATACACAATCTCGTACAAAATTCATAGAAAACTGCCATTTTAGACAGTTCGAAAAAAGTATTGAATTTGACTAGTTGGCTTACTAGCCAACTAGTCATATTCAATACTTTTTGGGTACTCCCAATTGAATTTAATGGATTAGTATCATTAGTATATCTTGGTTTTTAACTTTATTCATCTAATGGCAAAATACCTTAAGTAGCCAGGTATAAGGACAGGAAGAAGAAAAAGATTCTGGCTTCCTTCACTACAGATGCTATGTGTGCAAAACTGACCAAAGTTTTAACTTAACGGTTAAAACCTACCACAAGTAACATAATAAAGTACTTAGCTAACAGTACAGTCACATACATATATTTTGTGGAAAATTCTCCAACGAGACGTAACTGTATCTACAATTCTGTTAGTCAATTCGGTAGTTCCCTAGTTCCCAAGTATTGTTTGTATATAAGTGTGTGCTCATAACGCGTTATACTGTTTAGTCTATTACTCATAGAAGAATCTAACAAAACACCTTCGTATATTAGAATGTACTTATTTGTTTTAAACTTATTTAATATAACATAACATCACGCCTTTTTATTCCCGAAGGGGTACGCAGAGGTGCGCATTACGATACTTAATGCCACTGTACAATGTAACACCCACTTTTCACTATTTATTTTATGAGTCCCATGTAATAGGGGGTGAGCCTATTGCTATATACCGGGCACATTTCCAGACTACGTGCTACTACTGAGATTTTTAAAAACCCAGTAATACTTTGCCCTATCCGGGAATCGAATCCGAGACCCCTTGCCCGGCAGTCGCATATGCGACCACTCGGCCAACGAGACAGTCAAATAACATAACATAACATCACGCCTTTTATCCCCGAAGGGGTAGGCAGAGGTGCACATTATGGCACTTAATGCCACTGTACAATGTAACACCCACTGTTCACTATTTATGTTATGGGTCCCATGTAATAGGGGGTGAGCCTATTGCCATATACCAGGCACATTTCCAGACGCCGTGCTACTACTGATCTGTTACTGATGCAGTCAAATATACAAAGTTATTTGTATTGAAAATAATTTGTGCATTACTTATGTATGGGTACGGTAATGAGTTAGTAACTTAGTAATTAGAAGAGTAAATAACGTCTGTAATTAGTAGGTATTTATGGAAAAATACGGAGTTTTATCTTATCAAGCAATGGTTTTATAGTAAGAGGCCTAGTCTGTGTGGCTACAAACGAAATTAACTCGTAATACAAATGTTTAATCGTATTTCGGTATGACTTTCAATTTTGGGTTTTTACTCGGTTTTGGAATTGCAATTTTAATATTAAAGGGATATGAAAACATTCGTAAGAGGTTCCTTAGATATACTGAATTAATTATTATGTTTTCGGCTTACTGACGTAACTGTTTGACGAGGAACTCGACTAGTTTCAAGCCATGCTAGAGGCTCATCTTCATGGGCAGCATTCTGTGACACTAGTCGAGTTACGTGAGAAGGTGAAAACATTATAATTCATCGAAGGGATATGTGTTAAAGCAAGGTATAAAGAACTTGTCCTTATTACCATATTTCACTGTATTTAGAATAATTTTGTATAAGTATAGAAATAATTAATTTACACACATTTCATTAATAGACACATTTCTGTATCCTATATGATCCTATTGATACTGAAATGTATGTATTACTAGCTATTACCCGCGGCTTCGATCGCGTCACAAAAGGATAAAAAGTAGCCTATGTGACATATACCAATCAATACACACAGCGCCATCTATACCAATAATTTCGTTTTCCCTCGAGAATATCATTTTTTTCCGGGATAAAAAGCACCCTATTATTTAATCCAGACTTCTAACTTTACGTCTGCAAAAATTCAAAACAATCGGTTTAGTACTTACGGCGTGAAAGCGGAACAAACAAACAAACTCACTTTCCCATTTATAATATTAGTAAGGATAGTAAGGAAGTAAGGATAAGGATAGT